TGACATTGATTAAAAGTGAAAATTCTACAGTGGTTTATTCAGAATACCCATGGTTACGCCTCCCGCCCACACCTCAACTTCCTTATCCTGATCATGGTCAATATGCACAAATCAATAATATTAGCATATGGTACACTATTTATGGGCCAAAAAATGGTGTGCCTGTTCTTTTCCTTCATGGTGGTCTTGCTAATAGTGACTATTGGGGACTACAAGTTCAACAACTTCAGAGTACTTACAAATGTATTCTAATGGACTCTCGAGCACAAGGTCGAAGTCCATCATCGTCTGCCAATATTACATACGATCTGATGACTGCAGATGTTGTTAGTTTACTTGATTATCTTGATTTGAGTAAGATTCACCTTGTTGGTTGGAGTGATGGAGCGAATATTGGTCTTAATCTAGCAATGAATCATCCTGATAGACTATATTCATTATTTGCATTCGGTGCGAACTATAATTCATCTGATGGAAATGACACCTCTATGCCACCTGTTTTCGCTGCTTATCTTAAACGCACTCAAGCTGAATACGAAGCATTTAATCCCAACAAGCAATATGAAATTTTGTTCAATGATATACTAACAATGTGGACTAATTATTCAAAATGGACAAAAGTCGATTTTGAAAAAATTCCTACCGATTTACCCATTTGGATTGTAGATGGTGATCATGACGAAGTTATCAATAGAGAACAACCAGACACGATGACTAGTTGGATTCCACAAGCTGGAGAATTGATATTGCCAAGAACGAGTCATTTTGCATTTCTACAAGAGCCTACTAGGTTTACTACAGCTTTAGAACAATTTTTGGCTGAAGTAACTAATACGACAACTTGTTCGAATTATCGTTTGATATGTATTAACAATTGCTCGAAAATATCAGTCGACTCATTCTATACTCTAATACTTATCTTTGCATTTCGATTGATGCTTGGATATGCTAATTAAATATGTCAACATACTATTAATCAACAATTAATGTATGAAAATTGCAATCAGAAACGAAAACATTATTGTTTTTTTTTGTTTTTAATGCTTCCTTTAGTAGCTTCTCCAATAGATCCGTTAAATTAAAGTGGAAAAATGAAGAGCTGATAAGAATGAATTTTCACATTTTTGAGAAGCAAACGAGTTCAATGTTTTTTCTTTCTGGCACAAACTGAGAATCTTATCGATATTTTTCATTGTTTTCAATTGAACGCACGATTATGATTGTAAGTAATCAAGGATTTCTTTTACCAGATTGATTTTTTTTGAATATTTGAAAAATACTCGGAAATATGAAGACAATTCAAACATATTCAAAAGTTCACACCGCTCTCACCCTCAAATACTTTCAAAGAACAATCAATCAGACATCGGATCGACGTCATTCACACCCATGGTTCATTTCTAATGTGAGTGTTCGATGTGACTCTTCCCATTGTCTGTAATCATTCATTAGTACAATTTGATTCAATCATGCCAGGGTGTAGGTGTGGATGAAACAAGAATCACACGTACCCGCACCCACCCAGACACCTACATCCACAGTCCCAGAAATAGCCATTGTTATTTTTCGAGTTTGTGCTGACCATAACAGACACAATACGTAGAAACAAAATGTGTACACTGTTTACACCTTGCTCAGAAGGATACAATGTATGTAGTAAAATTTATTGAAGAAAATATATATAATAAATTAATTTCAGAACCTTGAAAGCTTCATTGAGTATTAAATTAGGGATTATATTTTTATGATAGTAGCACCGTCATATAAATTGAGGTAATTCAAAAGCTATTTTGGATTTCTATCGCAAGCGCTATTTCTTACGCTAATAAAATCGATCTTATTTTATCCGAAAAACTAATTCAATTCACACCGAGGTCGGCGATAAATTTGATTCTAAGTCATAAACTATACGATTTTCAATGAAATCAATCACAAAAGCATTGACAAAGTACATATTAGTTTACAAATTTTATATTTTTAGTTCAGCAACTGCAACGCAGAGGGTGGGTGTGGGTGTGAGTGAAACAAGAACCACATCCACGACCACACCGACACCGTTCGTCAAAATGTGTTGAGGCGCATTGCTTTTCAAAAGGCAATCGAATATAGAGTCACATAGTTAGTTTAGTTAGTGTTGGTAAATAACTATTTATTTAAATCAATGGAAACTCATCCATTTAAAACATCATCTATCGTCAGAAACATTTATGCAGCGTTTCAATTTTTGTTTCTATAGAAATTCGGAATTTATAAAAATACATCGATTCGTATGTAATTTTTCTGAATACAAATATATAATCGTGATTGTTGATATCAGATGAATAGTGCGTGCATCTATCGATCAAACACACATTTTATTTTATATTTCTTAAAAACTACAGGAACCAGAATTAAAAAGATTCATCTGATAAGAAAGACAAATAAAAGTTCCCAATATTTGATTTTCTTTCAAGAGTACGATGATATATAGTAGTTGGCAGTAGACAAAATTGCTGATCATAAACTTTTATCATTAGTGCTATCGATGAAACTGATTTATATAAATACTTCAACAATTATGCCATATTAGGCGCATTTAAACATGTTGAAAAAATCGTCAAGACATCAAGAAAACTGATGATCGTTCTTTTCTAGCCACTTATTACCATTTTCTGGTGCAGAACAGACGAATATGATCCCGTAAATGACATTTTACCCATTTCGCTTTTTTTAGGTAAGCCAAGTCATACATATACCACTACAGAAGAGACTGTAATATTAATCATGACACGATTCTAGTGCATCAAACGAAATGTTCATAAGTCGGTGATCATCATCTCCGCATACAACTCTACTGTTTTCGGATAGAATAGTGAGTAATTGACAAGTAGTGAACTGCGTCCAACACCGAAACCCGATTCCTACTCCGGAATCCTATTCTGAGCAACGGGTGGAAGTAGAAGAAATTGAAACGAGCTTATTCAGGATTAATGTCTGAGTTATATTAGTACAATAGTCAAATAGTTTGACTCTTATTAACAAACAAGTTTACTCATGAATTATTATATAATAAACAAAAATATACTACTTTTAGTGTTAAAAATAAATTTTAAGAAAAAAATAATGATGCAAGAAAGATATTCACATTAACCATTAGTATTAAAAAAAAGACAATAGACTAATCTAGAGAAATTCCTTTATTATGTAAATCTTTAAAACTATCTTGAACATCAAGATGTAATTGTTTAGCAACTGTACCGTTGGACTCTTCAGAAGATACTGCTGTTGCAGATCATCATTTTACAAAAATATAATGAAAAAAATTCCACCATTCGCTTGATTTTGATATTTTTATTGTTTCTGAAAAAAAACATATAAAGAAAAACCCATGGACAATATAAATTGTTCGTTTCTTATTGATTCGCTTACTATTTTATCCCTTCAGAATATTAAGAATTGATATGAATCAGATATCACTAAACTAAAATAATTGGATTGTCGGCGTCTGAATCACAATAGAAAAACGTAACTTCGCTGATCACTACTGACGTGCCTCTGTGGCGAAGCGGCTTAACGCGTTGGACTTCTAATCCAAAGATCGTGGGTTCGATCCCCACCAGAGGTGGTCTGAATTAATTTTTTTTGAAAAACTATCAAACCTTCGAAAGTGTCCTTAGACAATACCGAACATCAAAAGGTAGAGTATTCTTCTACTTTTTCTTCTAATAACCAAAGATGAGCAAATCAAGTCATATTTGTTTTGACTTGTGATTTGTTCGTAAATAAAAGAAAAGTCAAGTCAAGTCTGAAAATGTATGCATGTAAAGGTGTTGTACTCACTTTTCTTTGTTTTTTTAATAATTAAATAACTAAATAATCTAGAAAATGATAGTAAAACTACAATATGGATCAAGGAAACAATATTTTTGATAATTTGCCTTCAGTTAAAGAAAACATAATGAAAATTGGGTTGAAATCCAACTGGACTTGACTTAGCATGAATTAAAAAAATCGCTGACTTGCTCATCTCTGCTAGTAACTGACGCCGATCGTATACTCAACCGAATCTATATAGGCCAAAATGTTGAAAAAAAACAACTTTAAACGACTTAAAATTGCCAGCATTCTTTACTGTGAACGCTACTGTATGTGACGGGTTTGCAATATGAGGGTATGGGTGTGAGTAAACTTAAGACTAACACTGACACGTACCCACAATACCCACACCCTCAAGCTGCTGTTGATGCTCAGCACATGTCCCAAATCAATCCATAAGTGCGTGACATCTGCTTGACTCATCATAGTTCTCAATGGAACACGCATCAATTTGATATTTGATATTTTAATAAGAATTGATTATTACTGATCAGTGGTTTCCAGCTGGCATTAACATGAACGATTGTTTCATACGGAGACAAAAGAGTTGATAGATTAAATAAATGCGGCTTTAATTCTGTAATCTGAATACAATTCTCATCGATTGCTAATGGATGAATATCGATTTAAAAGTATTTATTATGTTCGATTTTATTTAGTTCTTATTAAAGAGCACGAACACCTTATGTCGATGTATCGATATTTTCCAAAGACAGTTCTACTGATCAATGAGTTTTCAATTTTTTCAGCAATAATATGCTGTACTTTCCGACAATTTCTTTCATAAAAATGATCAATCGTTTTGTAACAATCTGCACGCTATTTTTTCAGTTGACCTTCACAATATTTTCTCGTGCTTGTTCAACATGTAGTTCTATCAATTGATTATCAGGATGTCATACACCATGTCACTTATATTTGTGCATGATAGTGTGTAATTCAAACATTCACGTAAAGAATAATAAAACGAGAAAAGAAAAATGTCTATGCTTCTATACACCTTTGGCTGTGTGTACATAAAAGCAAAGATGTATTGCTTCGTTCTTTAATAGCTAAATGAAAGTCAAAACGTGCATACATTTATAGCAGTAGTAACACAATAGTACATATGATCTAAAAAAATTTCAAAACTCAACATTTTTATTTCATTTCACATTCGCAAAATTCTCTTTCACATCCTGATTCCATGCTAGAGTGAATTTGTTCTTGATATTTTCCTTGGGAATCCGAAAAGATAACTCAGCTCCACCATAATCTCTAGTCCAGCTTCCATCTGTATTATGTACGGGATTCAATCGGAAAACACGAAATTTGTATTTCATTATGCCAGCCGTATGAAATCGACACTGATTTGTCATGCCGAAATCGACTTTGCTTGCCCAATCATATTTCAAATTTGAATTGATCCAAACTTCATTTGGATAAGATGCAAAATTCCATGCTTGACCTTCTTTGTGTATTCTTCTCATGAGTAGATCGATGGTCACAAGCCATCTGGTGAGGAAATCTTCGTTGCGAGCCTTAATAATCGATGCTCGTATGGTTGTAGCAACACTTTGTAACGAAAGTGAATTAGTAAAGTCATCAGATAACATGAACATGATCGAATTATCGACCTGACCATGTGGAGCAAGTGTATCAGATATGCCTCGATAATTAATTAGAATGTTTGCCCTTTGTATCTGTTCCTTGTCCGAGTCGAAGACATGTTTGTTTAATGTCACCACAAGATAAGCGGTAAGCGCATCTTGAATGGTGATATCTTTATTTCCTTGTCCAGCAACAGCACATAGTTTTGTCAGTTGCTCTGACGAGAAGGACATATGGCATGGATCTGTCGTTGCGTGTTCCTGAAGAACACCTGCCATAATGATGTTTCTGTCTTGAGCATCTTGCAATTGTTTCAAGAGAGGCATAAGAGACGTATCGATAGCGAGAGGAGCATCTTTCTTGATCCACAAATGCCGTTCGAATATAGGTCTTGGTGGTAAGGGCTCAAGATTTTGATAAAGACGAGATAGATCAGTTAGAAAGTGAATGTTGGAATCTGCATCACCAAGCATATGATAAAAGGATACACCAAGTACGTATTCATTGCTACGAATTAGACGAGTAACTTTGAATCGAACAAGTGGATCGTCTCGAGCAGGCTCGCTTGGAACGGAATCGACAAATGGTTGAAGTATTGTCGGATCATCAACAACAACAGGCAGAAGAGGCCATCGTTCAAGTTCATTATTTTCGATATAAGTAAATGGAATAGGATTGTCCGAAAGTTCAATTGAATAATGTTCCTTGTCGACAATATGAAGACGACCTGCGATGATTGACCAACGAGAGATCGTTTGGCTGAGTGCCTTCTGTAATCGATCGATATCAAGGAAAGGATAGACAAAGACGTTGTCGATCGCTCCTAGGACCATGTCTATACCAGCAAGTGGGATTTGACGACCATTTCCCATCGGAGAATCAGGATAGACGAGTGTGAGCACCATTTCACTTACGAATTTTTCAACGTTGGATGTTCGTGTTTTTTATTGTGTTTTATGGTAGTTACGAAATTATACTATGTAATTTCTTTATTCACTCTTATCTTTGTTCTTTTTCTCGAGTAATGATAAAAGATCGATAAGGACGAATAGAAGAAGTAACAGTATCCACATAAATGACAAAGTCTAAAACAGAATTAGACGAATAGACTATTTTGCTGAACAAAATACACATCCTACCTCATTTTTCATCCGAACTATTACCGGTTAGTCTCAAACCAGCAGTAAACAATGAAAAATGCTTGACAACAAGAGATGCATGTATCGTACATTCTCTTGCAAGTAAATGCCGAATATAGTAGGCACATTCAATCCTTGACTTTGATTTACTTTTCCTCTATTAGCTACTCTAAAACGTATACTGTATGCTTCAAATCTTGAAGATGAATATGAATAGAATTATGTCACCTTTCATTCTCTTTGGCCTTGCATAATCGACTAGAGAGCACAGAAAGCCATATCTTTTAACAGTTTGTCGTAACCCCATGTTATCTCTGTATCAAGTCACATATCATTATTAGTGAGTGTGTTGATAATTGGCATTAAAACTAATGCATGAGTAAAGAAGTATAGAGAAAGCTTTAAACTTAAAATGAAGAAAATATAATCAATTCCTTTTTTGGCGAACTACTGCACCATTAGGTTCGTATATGGCGCCGTCGTCTTTCATCACTTAATCATTAGCAGCACATGCTTCCTTTGAGGTAGAAATAGTAACTAAGTGCAATACAATGCAAAGTCGTAAGGCTCACATATCTGGACACATGCTGAACTCTTTCTCGTCGGTAAACAGTAGCAGAAGGTTTGTCGGTTAACTATCAATAGAGACTGGCCGATTTTCTCAACGTCCGATTTAGAATTAGCTAGGTTTGACATGAGATTATTCAGTGTCAAATATCCATTTCTACGCACTTCACAACAATGAATGAACTAGACTAACAATGACTGTCAATAAACTATCATTGAATGTATACCATATGAAAGTAATGGAATACAAAGGTAAAAAGAAGTCGTTGTTGTTGTTACTTGGTTTGAAATCGATCAATAATTAGCGTTAGGAAGATTGAAATATTTCTCAATAGTCTGCACTGACTAGATTAAGTGTGATATTCACTGATCCACATTCATCGATGGATGTATGCAAGCTTCTTCTTGATTGTTAATGAGCTGTGAATGTAGCACCGACAAGAATTTAGAGTTGAAATGCAAGACTAACGAAAAATGCGATGATTGCAATCTATCAGAAGAACACGAATGCATTAACTAGCTCAGTAAAACAAACTTATCCTGATGCTAACTCGAGAAAAGAGCAAACTGAGCAAAAAATCACTAAAGATCAAAGCAGTTAATATCTTCATAGTGGACTATACAATATACAACGACCATTTAACATTAATTTCATCTTATCCTTCGAAAAAATTCAACAGCTGAAAATAGAAGAAAAATATAGGGTGTGGATATTGGCGTGAGCCCGATGGCTGGATACAGGCATGGGTCTGTGAAAAAATACCCACACTCACATCCACATCCACCCATACCTTCAATAACGACAAGTTTTAAAGATGAGAAAGGGAGTTGTGAAAGCATATTATCTTCTCAATAACCAAAGTAACTATGTTGACATCGTAGTTTTCCTGATGCTTTGGCAATATGAGGAGATCGAATAAAGAATGACACAAGAATATCATACGAACTATCGGTCAAACAACAAAAATCGAACTCCACGTTTTATTGAAAAACTATAAAGATAGTGTCTAAGACAACGAAAAAAATGAAAATAAAAAGTTGACATAAGAAAAGTGCATATCATTCGCAGCCCTTGTCTAACCAAGTTGCGCATTGTGAGTGGCACATGTCTTGATTACAAGCGTCAGTGCATCAACCAGGAAAGCCAAATATTTGTCACAGGAAAAATACAAACATACATTTCATGAAAAGAGTTGAAAAATATTGTTCAGATGCAATACGTATGAGTTTAAATGAATAATTGAACAGCGAAAGCAAAATATCAATAGAAAACGAAAGACAAACCAACAAGAAAGTTCACAACAATAGAATAGAGTAGAGCTTCAGCCTAACACAGTTATCGGTGGGTGACCGAAGATAAAACGGTAATGATGATTCACCAGTCCATCGTTCAATAGTGTGATTATGCATTCACATAAAGTGTTCAACCATCCATACTCATCCTAATTTTTGAAAGAATACGATCTAATGTTCAATATAGATTCAACATTTTCTAATAATGCTTCTGCTACTTCTTCATTCTTACTTTTATTTACAGTTGTCGAAGTTAATGTTAAACGGTCAAAAATTGAATCTGTTTAAATGTTTTTAGCATCGTTTGAATTTATGATGTCATGATCGGTAAATAACGGTTGTGTGAAATAATAGATTGAAAAAGTTAAGTATATCATATTTTTTTTTAAATATTCCTGGGTGGAACAACTGAGACTCCAGTCTTGAAGTCTTTAGAAGTCTTCTTAGGTCTTTTAAAAATTTGAAGTCTCGTGAACTCTTTTGAAGTCTTGAAGTCCACTATTTCCCCCTCAAAACTATCATATGAAGGACTCAGTTGTATGTATTTATACAAAACTTATTACTTTAGATACATTTAATCAGTGACAGTGGAAAAAGATTTCTTTTACATGAAACAGTACGCTGTTGGGTTTCCATAAGAAAACGAAATTTTATAGCTTGAGAATAAAAAGAGCTGCATGGCGGGAATTCTCAGTGAATGTAACAGGTACTAAACAATATATGAAAGAAAGTAGCCTGGTAGTTGCAATTTACAGTCATACAATTAAGAATATTTTCATCACAAATATAATGCTAGATAGGAGCATAATTAACATATTCATAACGTCTCAACGAAGCAATAGGAACCCAAAGGATGGGTGTAAGTATGGATATGGATGTGATTGTTACAGTCTTCTCTTAATGTACACAGGCACTAATACCCACACCCACATGTACACCCTCTGGCAGTTAAGGGAAGGATGTGGGTGTGTGAGTGAGAGTGGATGACGGTGTGGATATTCTCATCTCTCACCCCTTCACTCACACCCTTAAGATTGATTTGGATGATAAACGTATAGGTCGATTTGTTTTTCATTGATTTAATATTATGTGATAATTAGAAAGAATGAGGAATCGCAGAAGAATTTACTTTTTTCTTAAGAGATCT